AAGATGAAGACATCAGACACCACATTATCAGAAGCACTGCACTTCTATACTGTGGGTAGAGGGAATAATTTTGTATTGCTTCTACCTCTTGTGTGAGAAAGAGAAAAACAGGGGAAAAGTAAAAAAAAAAAAAAAAAAATAAGGTAGAAGAAAAACATGTCAAGTGACATCCAGAAAAGAGAATAGTGTGAATACTCTTGAAATGATAAAGTTTGCCTCTGAAAAAATCAGTTGCCAGTGTAACTGGGTGCATTTAGCGGGGACTGGGAATCACTTAAAACTCACCACCAGGTTTCCTATCACCAGGACTAGCAAGAAAATGATAATACATTTCTGTTTTCCAGCCACTTCCATACATTCCCACATCATTTCAATCCATTCTCCACATAATATTCGGAATACAATCAGGACTGAATGATTGAAATCCTTCATATGCCAGCGTAAATCCTTACTGGTGCTTATTTTATGGAATTTTTTTTCATAATCACTGCCCAAAAACTGCATTCCTACTATAGCAAAAATAAACACAGTGATAGCCAAAACCAGAGTGAGGTTACTCAGAGCACCAAATGAGTTTAGAATTATTCTCATAAGAGTATTTAAGGCTGGCCAGGACTTTGCCAATTTGAAGATCCTGATCTGTAAAATAAAACACAAGAGAAAAAAGGTAAGGTCAAACACAGCCCAGACAGCACAGCCCACATAAAAACCAGACCCTGCATTTATCATGCTACTTTTACTGCAGTAATTATTTTTCCCCCAAAGTTAGGTTTTTAATTGTTTTGGTGCAAAAGTGCTGTGCTTAAGCTCCAACAGTTAATATTAGTGAGAGCAGAGAACTATCAAAGAAAGGTTTCAAATTGATTGTGCTAAGTTAGATACAAGAATGTGCCAGTCAAATAATATTAATAGCAATAAAAAGCACATGAATATAAATATCTTATGAATACATGGATGAAGGTTATGAAATGACTGAGTTTTGGACTAGATGGAATGTAAAAGACAAACACTTTTTCACACCTCTCACCAAACAAACTGAAAAGCCAGATGGGACCTACCCTCTGTACCCCCATGAGTAAAAAGGAGGTATTTAGTCAAATTAGCATTCAGGGCTGTGAAAATCTCTCAGTCATGATACAAAGGTGAAACAGAATTCAACTGCATTTCTAGGTGTGAGGACTCTGAAATACTATGAAGAATTTTGAAGTAATTAATCAATTTAGCATTATAAATATTCATGAAAGACATAAGCACAAAAGTACTATTAAACATAGATGTCTCAGAACTATTCCTCTTTCTCCCTAAAATAGAGGAAAGCACCGAAGAGCTCTCAAGGCCAAGACTAAGCCCTGAGGAAAGCATTATTTTACAAATCTCAGCTCAAAAGGAAAAGCTGCCAAGGAATCTTTGCTATCCTTAAGCTCAGGAAAACACTCAGATAATATCTGCTCCTGATTGTAGGTCCGAAATGTAGTTGAGCAGTGCCACTGTACAGACCTAATAGAGAACCACTGTACTCTCTGCTGGGTCAGATCTCCCTGGGAGCACACTGTGCCAGAGGATTTGTAGTATCCAATATACACAGTATAATAAACATACTGAAAGTATTCTTTAATATTAATTAATATTTGCTTTAATGAAATGTTCCTGTTGGCTTCCTATTTACCAGCAAAGAGAACTGATTTGACAGATTCATCAGTGAAAAAATGAGAGGGTATTTCACTGTAATCTTTTACAAATCTATACAATACACGTGCTTTAAAAAATAGTAAAGGTATCATTACCGCCCTGAAAGGTGACAGATTGGTTCCAAAACTCAGTAGACCAATCAAAACAACCAAGCTATCAAAAACATTCCACTTGTTCTGAAAATAGTAATAAGGATCTAGAGCAATGATTTTCAAGATCATCTCTAGTGTAAAAATCAGGGTGAAGACCTGGAAAGACAAAAAAAAATTCAGAAAAGATCACTGAAGAAGTCTGTCTTCTTATGGGACTGTTCCAGTATAAATACAGGGTTATAACTCCATATTCACCCTAACATAGACCTCACTTACCTGGTCACTTATAGTAATCATTGCTCTGGTTTCTGGTAACATGCCAGGGTGCTCCATAGCCATGAATAAGGTGTTCAAGATAATGCAAACTGTGATAAAGAGTTCAACAAACGGATCCAAAATCACCAATTTCACCTTCTCTTTGACTGCTCTCCAGAATGGACAACAATTCCAAACTAGACACTTTAGAGCAAAACGTTTCCACAATGCAGGACATTTCACTTTTGACTCTAGCAGAGAAAGAGGGAAAGTGGTATATGAGTAATCCTATATGGAATATCATAGTGTGAAGAAAAAGACAGAGAAAAGATTGGAAAGAAAAATCAATCTCATGTGAGCAGAATGGCATCACTGAAAAAAGTTGTTTCACTCCTACTACACAAAATAATCACAGGCTATTGCAGGTCACCATCAACAAATATCAGAAAAAGGGGATATTATCCACCTCTTCATATGTTTATTACTCTTTCCTGTGAGGCTGGGGAGGCCCTGGCACAAGTTGCCCAGAGAAGCTGTGGATGCCCCATCCCTGGGAGTGTTCAAGGCCAGCTTGGATGGGACTCTGAGCAACCTGGTCTAGTGGAAAGTGTCCCTGCCCATGGCAGGGGGGAAGAACAAGATGATCTTTAAGGTCCTTTGCAACACAAACAGTTCCATGATTCTATGATTACACTATTA